CAAAAAGTATAAAATCAGTTTGCTTTTCCTGGCACCAGCACTTCCCAAACTCCGAGCTGAATTGTTGCTTCTTCCTCCATCCCAAAGAAAAGGTTTTTGCATGTGACTGAAAAAATTACATTATATGACACCAGGCAACCTCCAGCTCTCTTCAATGACTTAATGACATTAACTCCAGCTGCAGTTTTCTCTTTCCCCTTGCACAATTCCTTGCTCTTTTTCCACACTCCCACTCTCTTCCTCGGCTCATCTGCTTCTTCTACTTTCCTCCCTCAATCTGTCCTCTATTGTCTTCATTCTTGCTTTCACCCATCCCAGTCTTTGTTTTTTGACCCCCAGCCCTTTCTTTCCTCCTTTACGCTTTCTTCTTTAAAAAAATAAATAAATAATAATAAAAAAAATAAATACATCAACTTTTTTTTCTGCAGTCAAGCTGTTGGTTGATACCCTTAACCCCCTTCTTCACTGACACAACTGCTTAGTGTAACTCTCAACCTAAAATCAGAATAAGCAACAGAATTGTGCACCCCTGCCATAGCTAAATACAAAACCCAGCTGCTGGGGTAAACCCCAGCAAGTCACCTCCATAATATTTATCTTTTTGTAAAAAGAACAAAAATTAGAAATTATAACATACCTTTATAAATAACTTCTGTACTTGAAAACCTGTAAGCAACTTCTGTTCTATCGTTGGAAACTTTTACTTACTGAACTAAACTGACAGTAGTGAAACCCTCTAGAGGTCCCTAGAGTTAATTCAGACTGCTTCCTTCTTCACTCCCTTCTCACCCCTCATCTTCTTCATATGAAAAAGGAGAATTTTCAGGCTTGAAGGTCTCAACTGCAGTGACTCCACACTGCCAGTGAGGAGGTACTTTACAGCAGGGTTCAAAACAAAGCAATGCAACTTGGAATGAGATATATACATTAACACGGGACAGCCAGCAAAGATGACAAGCGTGCCTACACACCAACTGCAGCTGCTGTGCACAGGCAGAGCTTTAAAATTCTACAATGTCTTCTTCTCTGGGGGCTGCACAATCCATAGACAATGGTGACAAAGTGCCCCAGGTTCAATTCAACTCACAACATTTAGTCCTACATGCAGGGCTCTTCTCTGCTTTGGCACTATACACACAAACCTTTAAACTTACCTCCTCTGAATAAGCAGAGAATGCCTCTTCCTGCCTAGGAGTATCATGCTGCTCACACAAACACCTACAGGAACTTCTTAGGCCAGGTAGTTTTTTCTAACAGTTCTAAACATGCACTAGACCAAGGATCACATAACTTGATGGCGTTTTTTGCATCCCTATGTTTATGGTTATTAAGGTTATTAAGACATTTACTTTCAGTGGATGAAACTGAATTACTGGGTTTTGGGAACACCACATTGTAAAAATCTATGCAATAGACTCTTCACAGTATTATTTTTTAACAATGACTTTTCTGGGCTTCACTTGGTCGTATGGGACAGCAACAAATCAAATATATCAAACCTCTTCTATTCCACTGATATCACTGCTGCATTTAGTAAACATATGACAGGAAACAGGCTGTGTCTAAAATTGCTGTGGCATTTCCATAGGAGCCAAATTTATCCCGTGTGACTTCAATGGAGTCAATGCAGCTGCAGCAGGAACAAGCATGGCCCACAGTTTTCACTTGGGTCACGTACCTCCTCGCTGTGAAGGACACCCAGGAACAAAGATAAAAATAACCTAATACAAATCAGGGAAACAGTCATATGTCAGTGAAGAAGAAAGCAATAATTGTGATCAGTGACTCATTTTAGGGCACCAGGAGTAGGGGATCCCCTACATAGTAACACAGGGGGTCGGCCATGCGACTGCTCCTGCAGATTCGCCCTGTGCACAAGACAAGCCCTTCAGGTCCATTAACAACCCTGGGCTAAACACGTCACTGTGCAGCAGAGCAGCTAACGGCTCCCCATGTGCAATGCTTGGCCTTGTCACACAAAGGTGCAACACTTTGACTTTAAGAAAAGGTCAACTACACCTTGCCCTTCTGCTGCATTTTCCTTCCAAGAAGTGGTGTGTGCATGCATAATACTTCTCAACACTGACCCAAAATGCAGTCCGCAGACTAAACAGCACACAACAGCTACTATCTGTGGCAATGATCAGCCCTCATTTCAGAGTAATTATTTTTCAGACTGCCCATTTTGACCTTGATGGCCACCCATCCACAGCTGTGTTACTGAATCTGTTTCTCTTTATGCACACTTTAGGTGGGTGACAGCGCCATGGAGGATTAACGAGCAAGGTATGTGTTCATTACTTGAATCCATGCACTTCTAAAGACAAACTTGTTGAAATACAGACACAGAATTTGCTTCCTTTGCTTACAAGAAAACTCCCAGACAGGCTTATAAGTGTTTTAAACATTTCCAATTCCAGAGGAGCTTTTAAATCAAGAAAACCAAGTTCCTCTGGTTCGACCTTTCCTCACCCCTTCTCTACACCATTTTCTAGCCATAAAAGGTACACATTTTAACTTACACTGCTGTCCTTTTTTTTTTAAGGACCTTTCTTATTGCCTGACTGGTAATGTATGTTCAAACAGCTAATGTCAGTGTGACAGCTCGACTGAGCCTTGTAACCTATTGCTTGCTCTCTCAGAAACATCCCTCACCCATACCAAAGGGAAAAGTAATTCTTTTTTCCTCTCCGAGAGATCTCATTGTCTCTCCTCACCTGTGTGGGCCTTGTATCTATGATGCCCAACCAGCTAATACTGCTTCTGCTTTTACAGAAGCAGTTTAAAGCCCCAGGTCTTGCCCCTTGAGTCATGCAACTGCAATGTATGCTGCAACACAGCAGTGCAACTGCCTGCATATGTGCAGTAAATCTAATGCTGTACACAGAAATGGACTTATGGTGCACATATGCAGTTAAACGCTCATGCTATTCCAATCCTTTTGAGGGCAGCCAGGAAGAAAACTGGTAAGTTGCTGCAGCAGGTCATGCACAGCCCAAAGCCCACAGATTGCACACACATCCTGCATTGAAAAATGACATAGCAAGTTGTGATGAAGTCATCCTCAGGAAATACTGTTCTCTGTGCAGTGTCCATCAGACAAGCGAGTTACACAAACTCTTCTGTACTAGTGTGAATCCATTAGTACTTTACCTACTGTGCCTTGTCTAGAGGAGGAAAAACAGCCTGATGCACCCCAGCCTGTACTGGGCTGGGAGAATGAATGTGCCTTCAGCCAAGTCACTTGAGAATCCCTGTGCGTGTCCTGCTGTTACTGCACTTGGGACAGACAGTGACCAGCGAGGAGCTAAGCAGGGCACACTTGGCAAGCACGTTCACTGCTTAAAGAGACAAAACCAGGTACAGCATCAAGTCAAAAAAAGCTAAAAAATTATAGTCACTATGAAAGTAAGTTCCTGGTGTGTGTTTTGTTTGCAATAAAGTAAAGATCAACTATAGCTTAAAAACATCATAATAAAATCTGACGTTCAATTTTCAGAGGAGACGTCACCACATGGAATCCTCTAAAAGTATTAAAATATCCATGTGTAATCTGGTCTCTTAAAGTACCAACACTGCCACTGGCACTGCAAGCACGTGTATGCTGCTCATACAGCACCACTTGACTCTACAGCCCCACTGGGAGGGACTAAAAGAGAAGAATCTGAAAGTCCCTTCTGTTTTACTTTAAGGTTTTCCATTTTAGCCCATCTAAAGGCAAATTTGTGGACAACAAAGTATCCCTGATTCAGCCAGGATTATCATGCAATTTAGGCGGCAGATATCTAAGCAAGAGCTGTCCTTCATGTGGCATATCTGAGTAGATAGGAATTTCATTTATTGCGGGTGGGGGGGGGAAAGAGATGACAAGGAGAAGCCTTCTGTCAAAGACATCAGGATATACATTCGTAAAACACTCAGTGGCAAGTGCAGCTTTAGGAGCAGAGTCTGAGATATGTATATATCATCATCATCTTCAAAACCAGTTTTCATTTTGTGTTATCACCTACAGGTTCCACTTCAAGCTAAGCAAGCACGTACCAAAGCCAGATTCTTTCCATAAAAGGTTCGTACAGGAGAGTTTACAGCACAACTACTTATTGGGAGCTTTAAGCAATTGGCACCCTGTACTTCCATTTGCCATTAGAAAGGGGGAAAATATACTTGAAATGAAACACTCAAGCACAACATACATGCTTTATGTTGTTCCTCATAGCCGTCCTCTGCCTTTGAACTTACATGTTGTAATACATGGTCCCATCCGTAGCGATATATAAAAAAAATTTAAGTCCTTATTCCGTTTTGTCTGTTGACTACTAAAATTTCCTATAGCACAGAAGCATAGCTTTAAATTACACACCATAAAATATTTTAACTTGGAATGGAAATGCTTCAGCAAGATTTCTTTTCCTCCCTTCCAAAGGAAGGTACTGGTAAATCAGATTAGCTGCCCGGGTCACTAACGGCCAGCAGTAATATCCAGATCTCTTGGCTGAAAGGTCTGTGACTCCTGCCATATCATCAGGCTTTCATGTGTGCTTGAACAAATAAAGGGGGGGAGGGTGGGAGGGAAATAATCCGTGGCCTTTCCACTGACTGTGAAGGATGGAAAGATTAGCATCTAAAGCAATGATCTGAGTAAATCTCACATAGCCACAATTTCCATTCTGCAATTCCTCACCACTGCTGAGAAGCAGATGCTTGGTAGCCTTCAGGAGGAGATGCACAATACAGCACAAATTCTGTTTTAAAGTAAAAGCACTGTAAGGGCAACCTATTTACTTCAAGCTTTTTAGAACTTTAAAACAATCTCCATTTGCACTTATCAAAACACTTTACTTCTGCATTTCTAACTCTTCACTTTCCTGCTTTCCCAGCTCCACAAAGGCTGTCTAAAACAAAAAGAGAAGATAATAGGCACTTTGCACTGTTCCTGACAACTTTTCTTCTTTCCTGCACTCCTAAAACCTCTGATTTGTGCCCTCTGCTTTCTTGTTGCCATGGAGAAGGTCCAATACATAACCCGCTCTGCTCTGAGGAGAGCCTCAACTATTGAGGTCAACCCACAAGCACGCCAAAGGCTCCAAGAGCTCTTTGTGAATTTCTGCCTGATTTTAATTTGCCTCTTGCTGATCTGTATCATTGTGATGCTCATCTGAAGTTCCAGCACTTCTCTGCACTGTCCTCTAGGAAAGTCACCCCAAAGGGAAGAGAGACCTACACCCGCAACTCCCAATGCAAGAATCCTCTTGTGAGAGGGGCTAGCGCTTGGACTAGAGCCGTATGCCAACCACCGCACTCTTCTCTTCCTACCTGCTACATGTATTTACAACACACTTCTGTGCCGTACAGTGTTTAGAGCCTGCTGTTACAAAGCTGTGCATGACCTAATTTGTCTGTCTCAGTCAAGAAATGTCTTTTCTGAAGGGGGTAAAGTGCTGCTTTTACATGGAGTTGGTAAGTTCTACGCTGTTTTAGCCAGAACACACAAACAGCAACTGCACTTTTGGGGGGTCTGAGTGTTTTTAAATTTCTCTGAAAATCCTTAAGCCCTTGGAGGGGTTCTAAATTTGGCCCATGTCCACCCAAAGAATGAGCTACAGGCACACAGCTCTCAACACACCCTAGGCAAATTTCTGCTCTGCTTCCTTCAAGGTGCCGCATCTCTGCATTATCAGTTGAAGGCATTCAAATTGTTTCAGTGTTTTTAAGGGAATATAAAGAATAAACAACAACAAAAATCTAACCCAGAAATAAAAACTGTTTCATATGCTTTTCTCCCTATTTAAGGGATCTTATATATAAGCATATGCATATGTATCTGTGTGTATACACACACATACAACCTGGGGCGGGGGGTGGGAGGGGAAGAGGCAGGGAAAAAAGGCAACTTTATTTACAGTATTTTTCACTAGATAAATCCTTACACAACTAAGTGACATCTGGTAACTTTTTTCACTACAATTTAATTTTCTGTAGTCATTTAACTGACATGACAATTGGCACAACTCAAAAATAATTCTCAGAGTTCTTAATATTTGGCTTCAGACAACTTTATTATGGGCTGTTGTAATTTATGCAAAAATCTCCTTAGTTTAAAACTCCAGAAAACTTGGTATTTGCCAATGTCACACAAGGTGGCTTATATCTGAGGTGGTAAAGAAAAAGGTTTTAGGTCACACTTACTGCTGTGATTAAAGTGCTATCATACAAATTCAAGTAACACCACCACTCTCAACTGCAAATGCTTGTTAGAGAGCAAGCAAGTACTTCCCTAAATTAAATGATACGTATCATTATGCATAGGAGGGAAAGCATTGCAGAAACATCTTCTCAACCTGTAAACGAGTCTATACACATAAAATACGAAGTTTCTACTCCAGCAGTTGTCAGTAACAAGATTGAGCAGTAGACTCAAACTCTCCCATGTGTTGCTGGTATTAAGCTAAATTCCTGGAAACTTTATACAGTTTTCAAGTTTAAAAAGACCTTAAGAGTCAATAGGTAGAGTTCAAACAGACATCTTTCTATAACCGCCCTACATAAGCAATCCTATTGATGATTACAGAGAACCAAAACAATTTTATCTGAATCTTGTATTCTCCCTTTAAGACCTAATATTCCATGAGTAGAGGTTGATAATGAACAGCTGAGCAAGAAGGGAAGAAATCTTTGGGAAAAAACTATGTACTTGATGGAATGCAAGCAAACCCAGTGGTGATGCACTTCCTGTCTGGCAAATAGATATGCTGAGACCAGACCTCTGAAATATGGTTGATCACTGAAGGAAATTCGTTAGCTACTGTATGAGGATTAGGGCAAGCACTGACGAGATCAGCGACACACACACCCCCTTGTAAGTTAATATATGAATATTACTGATGCAAACTGTCGATGTAAATCTCTATTTCATGCGTTCTGACCACTCCCACAAATGCATGAGATCTTAGTAAGCACACTTTCCCTATTAATTCTTCTTCTTAAGAAAAGCTACAGTGCACTTTCAGGGATAAAAAAATCCAAGAAACTAAAGTTACTTTATTCTCCTTTTAAACCTGTATTTTTTTGATGGATAGGGTTTCCAGTTTTAGTTTGCTTTGGAGATTTTTCAAGAAACGTCATTTGGAAATAGACAACAGTTTTACAGTATAGAAAACTCCCTGAAGAAAAAAGGTGTTAAGAGTAAAATATAAACACATACATTCTGAGGACACATTGGGATTATAGGTTTCACAAGCCAATATTATATAAAAGTCAAAGTAAAGCATTGCTAAAAAAAATAACACCCCACGCCCCCCCCATAAAACCAAACCCATCATTTTCCTCTTATGTACCTGAAAAGCCATTATTTATTCTAAAACAATAAATAAACAAGAACAAAACCAAGGTATAAATGAACTGGAAGCCCTACTGTTATTTTATAGCAATGCAGATAAGTTGCATGTACTGTATGGTTCATTTGTGTCTTAGGGTTCTGCTGATCAGAAAAACTGCTACCGTCCTCTATATCACTAAACTTCAACTGAACCCAGAGATTAAAAAAATAAAACCTTTTGTACCTAGTACATTCTTCTTTGTATACGAATATGGGCTTTAAAACTACCATCTACTGTATTTTTAGTTATTAAAATAACTGGTTGAAAATATAGTAATGCATAAAAAAGATACTTAAATACAATTCTGTTTAGAAGGAAGCATTCATTCATTCATTTACTTATTAAAGTTATGTGAAAAAGAGCTACTCATCACACAGCTTTCTGATTCTTTATAACTCTGTTTATTCTGGTTTGGTTTTCAACAGTAGTCTTGCCTATTTTGCTATGTTCAGATCACTTACACATACTTAATTTACACTCACCAACTACTGCACATAAGCGATCCTAATTAATTTTATGAAAGTGTAATCAAGAAGTTCACTACTTTCAAGAGCCGTAATAAAAATTCTAAACACAGCATGTAGCTTGGATTAAGCTTTCATTGCTCTGTTCCACTCCACTCAAGGCTACGTCTCGTAACTAATTTCATCTTAAACACTGACAGACAGCTAAACAGGCAACAATCTCGTATTGTTTCCCCCCCCCCTCTCCCCCCAAAGAAAATAAATTGCAAACTTCCGTAGCAATTTCACACTGGGAAAGAGCTGAATCAGGAACAAGAATACGCTGGTTTTAAAGACGTGTCTCCTCAGCCAGCTCTTCAGCAAATATTGATAAAGCAACCCATTTTCCTTGAGGTGGAGACATAACCCATTTCAGAATCAGAAATTTTGTTCTGATCAAGACTAGTCAGTAAGGCACTTTAGAGGGCAGCAGGTACTTGCATTTCTTTAGTAACTTTTCTGCATCAATTTAGAAACAACTGCCCTTACTAGCAGAACTTAACCACTCAGTGGAAAGACAATTATACAATAGGCTTAATCTTCTTTTTTTTTTTTTTTTAACAAAATGTGCACAAAATATTTGCCCCCCCCAGCATTAAGAACTTTTAAAGTTTTGCTACTAATACACACAGAACAATTGTCATGCAGACACACACACTCATGCCAAAATGTAGTTTACCTATATCCTCTCTCTGCCAAAATTATATCAGAGTAATGAACATATTCATTTAAAGAGTATTCCTGTTTATATCTGTAGTATATACTAATGTACTATAGATTACAGACCAGATATCTATATTTGTATGGCTATTAATAAACAGTTTCTGTCAGAATGCAATTAGAAAATATTTAAGTCCTACAAGATCCATAGGTATCTTTTATTTAGCAGCAAATGTAGTCCTTTTAGCTAAGAGTTAGATGTTAAAAATAAAAAAAATAATAATAAAAAAAAAAACTTGCTTTGGTTATGGCAGGGGATGAGTGAACACCTCTTGCTCATTGTGCTCATTGTAAGGATTAAAAACAGAACAACGGGATTCCAGTAGAAACTGACACTCATCTCAGGAAGAATGAAATTATAAATATCTGACAGTTAGAGACAATTTAGCCAAACTGATTGTTTTATAAGCCCATTATATATTTTTTTTTAAAAAGATAGAGCATTTTTGTATAAAACATAAAACTATAAAACACTGCCCTCTTGTGATCTTCCCTAAGAAACTTCACTGATTATAAAAGGAAATTTTGGCAACATTCCACCATTAAGGTCTACTTGTTTCTTTCATTTGCATGTATTTCTATATATAACACACAATTGCTAAGTTATTAATATTATCTTAAAATAAGCTATTGCATATGCTCTATTAAAAGCACCAAGGATTCATCCTCTGCCAGTCCAATCGAGATTCTTAATAAGGCACTTGCAAAGCTGCAATGGATCCTACATGGCACGCGGCTGGCCAAGCGCTCGCTACCTACCGCGCCGCACAACGCCAAACCCGCAAAGGGAGGAAGCACTGCTGGTAACAGAGGCACATTTTGCCCAGATGGGGAAGTTTTCTTCTTGTTTTTGTACCTTCTGGAGATCTTTTCAAAATAAACCTTCAATAGTCTATTGCTGAAATAGAGTAAGTCTTGAGAAGTCATTCTTTTGAATGTCAAATGGGCCTGAAGAGTAGCATACACACTAAAAAAAAAGTAACTAAAGAGCCAAGCTGTATAAAATTCAAGTTCTTTCTCCATTAATCAGCTCTTCAGAAGTTTGTCAGCAGTGAAATGAAAGCTGTCATTAACTTTTTTTTTTTTAAATATTATTTTTAAGGTATTTGGGGAAAAAAAGGCTTGTAGGAGCATCAAGATTCCTTTTTTTGGGGGGGAGGGGTTGGAATCTAGCTATTGTAATAAAATATTTTTTTCTTAAGTGGCAGAAACTTAAAACAGGTAAACAGCTAAGGAGACAATGAAATTCATGTGATCTGCATTGCTTACTACTAGTGAAGGAGCAACCCAAAGCTACAACCAAGAGCCTGCTGCTAACACGAGAGGGCAGACTGATGCGCACTATGGATCTTGCCAACAACAGAGGTCTCAACCTGCTCCTCAATTTTCTGCTTATTGTCTTGGTTCTGGTGCTCGCGTTTATCCTTGTGAAGCTGATGTGAACCTCTGTCAGGCTCCGCTTCCTTCTCAGATCTTGTTTTGAGGGGTCTGCAATGATAACGTAGACACTTCAAACTATCTGAATATAAATATGCAAGGACTGCAGAGACTAAAATACCTGACAGTTGGAGAAAGTGTTCGCACACCTGCTGTATCAGAACGTGATCCTAAAAGCTGTGTGCAATGATCTACCTGCCACTGAGTAAAGAAAGCACCTAGAGCCCTGCTGAGCACATGAAGAAGTCCAAGCATGCACCAGCAGTTACTGTAGTTTTCTCACTGCTACAACTGACTTGGATT